TCGCCGAGATCGTATCTGGCTCGAAACCGACGAGCAACTTGGACAACACGGATGTTTGAAGTGGCAGCACCCAATGGGGGATGCAATATTATCACGTGACTCCCTCTGGCGGTGATGATGACAACTAAAAACTTAGTTCTGGTTTGAAATGGATGGTTTTTGGGAATAAACCGTTTCAGAAAGATGAGTTAGTAATCTCAATGCCATTTAAAGATATCAAAACACGTTTATAGTGCATATGTCTAAGTAGTGCAAAAAAATTTTAATTTAATGATGATGATAGCAAGTGGAGCAATTCGGTTGCTGTGTGTGAACATGGGCGGCCCGTGTTAATGGTGTTGCGACGTCAAGTTGCTGGGAGAAATTTCCCCTTTTGCAGTGGGCCTAAGCACCTGATTTGGGCCGGACAAGCGCCCATGTCTACTGGGTGTTTCAGGGAGTGGCCAGGCTCTTTAAATTGACCGCAAAATTCGGTTTCTTAACCTATTGCGTTCCGATTTTGTACATCGTTGGCCACAGATGGTGCACTTTTTTTTTTTGTAAAATTTGCAGAGAGCAAATTTATTTGAGAAAAAAGTAAAGAAAGAAAAAGGTTTAGCTCCTATGGAAACGCAGCAAAGCCACTGGTCATTAAGCAATACGGCGCCATATCGCATGGGAGATGAGATGGCGCAAGCGGTCGTGACGTCACCTGCCGCCAACGAATGAGCATACGGCACCGAGAGCCAGCATCATTAGCAGACAATATTTTCTAATCAAAAGCGGCACGCACGTCCCTCAGTGGCGACAGCCGCGGAACCAAAAACAGGCGCGGTAACAACAAGGAACTGCAAAGCAGACGACATCAGTACCCCAAAAAAAAAACAGTCAAAATATCCCGACAAACCATTTTTCTGTGTCCATTCAATGTGTTTTATTAGTAAGGATGATAAAATAATGCATTGGCAATTGATATCAAAAAAGCTTGCGCTGCTTTTGAGTCGAAAAGATCGTCTGCTATTTGACACCGGCTCTCGGCGCCGTATGCTCATTCGTTAGCGGCAGTTGGCGTCGCAACCGCTTGCGCCATCTCTTGTCTCTTGTGCGAGCGGCGCCGTATTGTTTGAAGACCGGTGGCTTTGTTGTGTTTTCATAGGAGCTAGGCCTTTTTCTTTCTTTACTTTTTCCTCAGGTAAGTTCGCTCTTTGCAAATTTTATCAAATAAATGCACCATCTGTGGGCAACGCTGCATAAAATTGTTGCGCGATAGGTTAAGAAACCGAATTTTGCAGTCGATTTCAAAAGCCTGGCCGCTACTTGGGACACCCAGTAGATTAATCCAGTTTTCAGTGAAAGTGGGGTGGGTGGTCCCCTGATATTTTATAGTGTATTATAATTGTTTGCCCACTGCTTTAGTTGGTAGGGCCCAGCTGGCAAGATGTTTACGTGAATTTATAATGCTGATGACGACGTGCTGCCCTAGGAGCCTTGAGGTGACACTACTACCAGGAGGACACTGCCAGGCCATAGCTGGCTATATTTATATAAGAATGATGCTAATCATGATATGTTGTGTGCAGGGCCCAGGAGCCTTGAGGCCAGACCGGCGTCAGGACGGCAGCACCCGGCCAGCCGACCACATACCCAGCCACCAATCCTTTCTCGTCCTCGGCCAACGCCCCAAACCCGGCCGCCAAGATTTCTTTCTCTACCTTTAAGCAGGTGGGCATGACTCCTCGTGATACCACCAAGGTCGTGGCGATAGATATTCTCTTGACTCCCCTAGACTTTCTAGATACCAAGGTCGTAGCACTGTATTTTCCCTAAAGTTCCCTAGGCCTCGTAGACACTGAGGCTGCAGTGTGGTGCTGCATTTTTCTTCGACTTTCTAGATACCAGAGCAGTAGTGGTGCATTTTCTCTAAAGTTCCCTAGACCTCCTAAATACCAAGGCGATACTGGTGGATTTTTTCTATGCTTTTCTAGACCACCTAGGTACCGTAACCGTGCAGTACTGCATTTTACCTAAAGTTCCTTAGACCTCTAAAATATCAAGGCCATACCGAATATGATATAGCCTTGCCAATACTGGAAACTCCTCCGGAAACCTATGACTGTGGTGGCGAACGGCGACAGCGGCGTCCTTGGCGGACCTGGAGTATTTGCAAGCAGACGACACAATGGCAATGTGTAAGCTCCGCAATGTTCCAGACATTTGCGAGCCCCATATCCCGATCCTAGGAGTTGAAGCAGTCAATTACATTCAGTGTGTCTGCACAGCGATATCCACCGATCACAACCCCAACGACAATCAAATTAGCGTGCATAGAAACAGACATTAATTTACTTATTAGGTAGGCTTAATGCCGTTCAGAGAGCATTGTGTACAGCTGGTTTGCGTCTAAAAACCGGAAAGAAGGTAGAACTATGTTCTCGAAACTTACTTTTGATGTGAGAGAGGTGCAATTCGATAACCTTATTGTCATGTAGCCTTCTCGGAATAGATGATCAGAAAGAGCAATCGCTAGAGAGCCTGCTATCTAGTGGAAGCCCACCAGCAGCAGGCATGCCGACAAACACACATGCACATAACCACAACACAAAAAAGTTGTGTTGTGGCAAAAATTACCATACAAACACCTTACAAACATTTCAGCAGTCAGAATAAAGTGCAACTGAAAATAGAAGAGGCATTTGGATGGCTCCATCCCAAACAAAAACAAAAAGTGGTTGCGAATAAAAAAAACTAGTTTACGGACGGCACAAATGCCCTGGCGTTCAAAGAATCGCAATCAAGAGTATGGGAGTAGCACAGCAGACGACTGATGTTTGTGAGCAATGAAGCGGCTGAGAAAGAGTTGAAAACATGCAAAACAAAGCAGTAATAAAAAGAAACAGCCCGATGGCTCTAACTAATCTAACATGGGGTCCGCCAAAAAGAGACAGAAAAAAAAAGACAAAGAAAGGCAGACGGAAGAAAAGGCGCCACAACGCACATCTGAACAAAAAAAAAAGAAGTACTGTAAAATTACAAAGACAAACTCAATAGAGAGATCGTCCTCGAGAGTGCTGGAATTTATTGTGCGTAAAGGGACTTAGCCATTGTCTTAATGTGTGCATTATATTATTGCAAACCAGTTTTATTTTTATTTGCGCTATAACGCTTCCTTTTCTTTGCATGTACGAGAAGTAGCAGGTATTCTTTCAAACTTAGTTTTTTATCAATTAAGTCTACGAGTATGTTCATTTCGATAATGACCTCAGATCTTATGTGCACAATCGTCTCCAAGCAGCACATATGGTAGTGAATATATTGCGATAGGTTTCCTGCTGCCTTTTATTTTTATACAGTTGGGGTAGGTGTCAGCAGGATTAGCCAGATTGTCTTTTCAACAACACAGGTATGAGCAAGACATTCATGCAAACGGTAATGTCAACAACAAAGGTTATATGTATTGATTGACCGGAACACTGGAATTGAGATGTAGATAAGTTTTAAGAGTTTTAGATGTTTAAGTTTTAAAAAAAAACTGTGTGACGATAGATTCATGTTTTGCATGCTTTACATAAACTGTGACATCAGAATGTTTTCTGGGCTAAGAAGACAAAGCTGCACCTTAGAAGTCAAGCAACACATTTATCACGGAAAGAAGACATCCTTCACTTTTGAAATGGCAAATATAGGTTTTTACCAATCAAAGTGAAAAAAAAAAAAAAACATTGCAATGCTTTTTTGTCGGTTCCCTCATATGGATATAGGCAAAGCCAATGCATTTTGAGGACTTTGTCTGCTAGTGGAGATTTGGGCGTTGCAATCAGTTTTCGCCCGCACTCCGCAGGAGTTTCCAGTGTTGCTCTCCAAGGTATTTGGCTGGTCTTTCCCTGGACTTTTTAAATACCAAGGCCATAGTGCTGCATTTTTCTTAAAGTTCCCTAGACCTCCTAGTCCCCAAGGCCATACTGCTGGGTTTTCTGTAGACTTTCTAGATACCATAGAAGGCCGAATTCTGCATTTTCCCTAAAGTTCCCCATACTTCCTAATCACCCAGGCCATACTGCTTGATTTTCCCTAGACCTCCTAGTCACCCAGGCCATACTGCTGGATTTTCTCTAGACTTTCTAGATACCATGAAAGGCCGTAGTGTGGAGGCCAGCATGACTCATAGATTGGACACGAGTGTTATGTCAACATTTGGCTGGGACCCATGTTCTCACTGACCGAGTCCCAGCTGAACGCTGATGCAGCCCCCAGTTTGTGCCCTGCGCTGACCTCTGGGATATAAAATAGAGAACCCAGCACTACGGCCTTGTTACTTAGGGAAGTGGGTGTGCACTACCCTCCTTTTTACAGGACGGCAAGCAGACCGACAGGGCTGGGGGAGGTAGACCACGCATTCAATATATGTTTGCAGTTATGAGTTAAATTCCAAAGCTGATCTTTTTTTATGTGGATCAGGGAAGTAAATATATGGCTTATTTAAATTTGGTTATCTAGACTGCAACTTGTACAATTGTCATTCATCTGTGGGCTGTCTAAAAAGTAATTGTGTTGCATGTTTGTTAAGACAGCCGGAAGATTGTCAGTCTCAATGAACGACTCGTAAGTCTCTCAGCTGTAGATGAGAAATTTAGCCAGTGCAGTACAACCACTAACCTGGAATCACGCAGTAGTGATGCACACGCCAGTACGATTGATACTCATCCAGATCGAAACGGGGAGAGGTGGGGATCGAATTCAGAAAAACACCCTCCGAATTTTACGAGAAACAAACTCAGAAAACACGGAACTCTACTTGTAACATACCCACAATAAACAGTGGCAAAGGTCCGAGGATGTCTTGAACCGTACCACCCGCTGTCATTCTCCCGCAGAGTTTTGCTACCACCACCAACTACCTCCGGAGGCGGTTCTCCTCGGGGGACCTCTCAGGGGAGCTCGAAGACCAGGAGGGGGCGACCCCCGGGGGGGGAGGGGGGGTCGATGGGGGTCCCAGGGGGGGCCCCGAGGGGGTCGCAGCCCCCCAGGGATCGGTGGACGCCAGCGGGGACCTGTCGCTGAACCTCCGTCCCAGCTCAGCGACGAGCGCTCCCAGCTCGCCGGCACGCACGGTGACCTCGTTCCTGTCGCGCGGCGCGTCTCTGACGAGCGGGGCGGCCAAGAACTTGCCCTATGCTAAGGACAGGCACCTGACCTTGCTGGTGGTGGACGACGCACGGACCGACTGGTGAGTGGTGATACAGTTCATTCATTGATGCTGGCCAACGAGCCCTGACCTGCAAAAAACTGTGTGGCCGGATGGTTTTGGTTGGCTGTCTCGTCGAGAAGGTTGCGTACACCCAAACGCAGCATCGGCGCTTAGTTTTGATCGGCTTGTCTCACCTCAAAGGTTGTGCACACTGCGTGCGGCACGGCTAGGGCAAACATACAATCCGCACTTTGTTTCGATTGGCTTGTCTAGTCTCGGAACAGTGCCAAGAATTTTTTTCGGGGGGGGGGGGAGGGGGAGGGGGAGGGGGGGAGGAGGGGAGCTGAGGTGACTGGGGTGTCCATGACTTGGGATGCGGAGAGGGGGACGGAGGTCAAAATGCATGTGTATATTATAGGTAGGGTGTGCATTTTCCGGTTTTAACCGAAAAACACCGATAAACATCCGTCGGTGACGAAAATATAAAATCGGTTAAAACCGAAAAACACCGGTGGTTGGATATTTTCGCCCTGGTTAAAACCGAAAAACACCGGTCGTTGCTAGTTTCCGACCTAGCAAAACCCAGTCCCCGTAAAGGTTCGTCAAACGTGTTATCTCGTGGATCCTGCTTTCTTGCAGTGTTTATACATGGCTTGCAGGTGGCGTCAGTCCGCCCTCCTTTCTGGGGGTCAAAAGCGTCTACCGTAATATCCCGAGTCATCGCCCATCCCCGAGCCATCGCCCACCCCATTTTTTGGGCCAATATCGATTTCCGAAAAAACACCGAGTCATCGCCCACCTCTTGAAATACCCCAGCGCGGACTCTGCGATCCGCGAACACTCATCCTACCTGAATGACGCGGCCGCGGACCTTACAGTTCAAGGACGTCCATGACAAAGTAAAACAAAGGAGGGAAAGACACTTCTTTTTGTTTACATCCGTGAGCGACCCCAAAGTGGTCGTGTATCCGTGCGAAAAGAAAACGATGGAGATAACAAAATAAGAGTTTGTTAATGTAACCGCGGAGTGTTAGGTTAAAGTCTGTCTCCGCCGAAGTAAGGTCACCGCGAACCCGCTCCTTCTTCCCGCCCGTCGCGACCGCGGTTGTGCAATATTTTAGGCAAAGCCAACGCGTAAATAAAGCTTTGATGGAACGCCCTACACAGACGTTTGCAGAGCGTCCCAACCGTGCATTGATAGCCCGCCGTGCACCGACGCACGTATGTACGCACCAAACAAGAAAGTTGCGCAAGAGCTTGCAATTGACAAGGCGCCCGACTTGGCCCGACGCCAAAGTATTTGCCAACGCGACCGCCGGCTTTCCCGCTTTTCCAGCATTGCTCTTGGTCGCTTCTTTGGTCCGCTCGCTCGCTCGCTCGTTGCGCCTGATCGGTTTTTCTATTTTCCTGTAGGCTTTTTTTTTTTTTTTACTAACTAGGAGTACATCCCAGGCGAAAATCAGTCCACTTCCAGCTGGGTTATGGAACTGGAAATGAGGCAGTCCAGCTGGATTCCAGCTGGACCCAGCTGGAACCAGCTGGACCCAACTGGAATCCAGCTGGACCCAGGTGGAATCCAGCTGGACTGCCTCATTTCCAGTTCCATAATCCAGCTGGAAGTGGACCGATTTTCGTCTGGGATAGTGGTGACATTCTTTCACGGAACAAACGTTCGCGCTATATGCAGATCGGCGATGTTTCTAGCGCGTATGCAAGCAACAAACTTTGCCATAGTAAAATATTCTTTCGTGAGCATTTTTTTCTATAAAACAATGAAACTAAATCGAGTTTTGAGTTTGATGTATCTCTTGTGCATCAGCGCTAGATACGCAGAGAAAAATAGGCAGTTTTTTCCGCTTTTTTTCAAGTGTTTGTGCTCACCCACCGAGACATGGCCCACCCCACTTTTTTAATGAATTTCAGGCGGTAGGGGGGTGGGCGATGACTCGGGATATTACGGTAGTGAACGCAGTGGAAGCTAAGCTCTCATACACCTTTCCCCCATTGTGTCTCCCATGGCCCCCTTTTGGGGAAAAATTAACGCAGTGGAGGGTAGGCTCTCACGTGCCTTTTCCTCATTGTGTCTGGCCAAGTGATGTCGGTGCAAGCCATGTATTCAGAGGTTGCTGTGGTTCCTGGAAGAGAATGCCAACGTGCTGCCATGACGGCAGCACGTTCCTTGCGTGCAGATGCAAGCAAGAAAGCTTGCATCTACTATAATAACCAAGTGTGAGAAATAGTTGCTTCTTAGAGAAGAAGTGTAAGAACTATGTGAAAAAAATTGGAACTCTCTGTCTGTGATCAATCGCTTTTTTCACCGATAATCACCGATTTTAGCCTCGTTGTGAGACGTTCTGCCGAAATACACCGGTGTTTTGAAAATAAATAAACACCGAAAAACATCCGCCGATTTTTCTCACAAATAAACACCGGAAAGTGCACACCCTAATTATAGGGTTGGCTGAATTTCGAGGGACAGCTGAAGCCCCATAAACACCTCCCCCCCCCCCCCCTGGCTATGCCCCTGTCTCGGAAGTTGTGTAAACTGCACAACACGTACAGTGCAAGCATAACGTTTGCTTTGTTTCAATTCAGTTGCCTTTTCTCAAGAGAATGTGTAGACTGCACGACACCGCCAGTTTGCGCGAACCTGATATTGGCACTTGCCTTGAGACCGCGGTACGAACATCCTATTCCAAGAGATCACCCGTCTTATTTTTCAGGCTAAATATCTATTCAGGCGAAAGCATTTTATATCTCATTGTTCAGTCGACCTTCAAAGTTTTTGAGCGAAAATGCGTCAGCGACACAAAAGCTACCAAAACGTCTATGTGACCACTCAGGCGAATTAGAGGCAATAAAATTAAGAACGATGACAAACTGAATTAGGAAGTGTCCAATGGAATTCCTAGACGTCGATCTTCTAGGCGTCGTTCTCAACGTCGTTTTAGACGTCATTCTTGACGTCGTTTTAGACGTCATTCTTGACGTCGTCCTAGAGGTCGTCCTAGACATCATCCAAGAAGTCATCCTAGACATTGTTCTTGACGTTGTCCTGGAGGTGGTCCTAGATGTCGTCCTCTAAGCGTCGTTCTCACCTTCCTACACGTAAGCAGTCTTAAGTGTACTCGTGTAATTTTTTTCTATCTATTCTTAAGGCTAAAAATTCCGATAAATCACCCGTTCCTGATTCTCGTTAGACATTGTGCAATGTTTAACGAGAATCACGTCAGCCGTGTGATCTGCGGTATTGGTACGCTTGACAGGTTAGTTTGTAACAGATTCTTGCACGTTCATTACGGCTGGGCCTAGGTTAAAAGTTTTAACCCGATTAATTGCCACCCTTTAATCGATTAATCTGTCGCTTTGATTTCCTGTCATAATATCTCCAGACGGGCAAACGTGCATTTTTTATGGGTTTTTTGTATAGCATAAGCGCCGCAATGTACATTTCCAGCTCTGGACAAAATTCTGCAGTTGAGCAACAAGAAAATTATACACTCGCAGATTATTATTTCATCTGCGAAGGCATAGGAGTTTTCCGCTAGCACTTCGACACGACAGAGTTTCTTGCATATTTGCAATCTACCTTGCTGCACTAAAGAAAGACGCTCGAGAGATGCTTTAACCAGGAGGGGCATTACAGTGAAGCCCGTTTAGAACGAACCCACGTACAGCGAATTATTGTCGATATCGAACTCACAGAAAATTTAAATAAAAATTTATGTTTTATAACGAACAACATATTGGCTATATCAAACATTTTCCCCTGGGAAGGTTTCCAAAAACGTGCAAACAATTGTCTTCTAGCCTGTCCCTTCCCCAAAAAAGAAGTAGGAAAGAAAGGGCATTCCAAAAGCTCAAGTTGTGAACAAAATTGAGCGAAGAGAAGCGATTCAGAAGGGGAGAAAGCTAAACAATATATTCTGTACGCACGCACAGAAAAAAAAAGACTTTTCATCCCAAGGCGCTTGCCCACGAAGAGAAGCGATTTAGAAAGCGAGATAAGCTAAAAGAAACAAACTCTGCACTCACGCAAAAAAAAATATATTAGCGCATTGTTACAAGGTGGAAGTGAAGAGATGAGAAAGAAAAAGAAGGCTCTCGCCTTACAACAAATTCATCGTGGAAGTTTGTTGTAAATGTTTTTTATTATATCGAACTACTTGCTATATCGAACTGATTGTAGCGTTTCCTGCTGTTCGTTATAAACGGGTTTGACTGTATCTTGCCTGCGGCTGACACTATCCGAGGATTGAGGAAGTGATCATCGCCTTTGTAGTGCACCGTTTGTCACGTCTGCTGGGGAATGATGCAGTGGCACACCCAGAGTTCTTCATTGCCCGTTTAACACCGTGTCCTGTTGGGCGCGTTCAGTAGCAGCTCCCTCAATTTTGAACGGAGTCACTCGAGTCGGAATCCTCGGAGCGCCTACTAAACGGAAAAAAAAAAACCACGGCTCCAAACCTGCTTCTACACAATTTCTGCTTCCTCCCCTGTGCCAGAAGGTCTCCGAATAAACTGGAAGCAGACGATGGCGAGCACAATCGCTTTTATTTGACGCCGGTATTGAAGAAGTCTTGACAAGGTCGTTGAAGAAAAAGCAAGTGACTGTACACATCAGCGCTGCCGTTCGAAGCAATGCAACGCGATCGAGCCCTTCGCTTGGCGGTGCAAAGGCAGCTACTGTTATAAAAACCGACTAAAAACGTCGTCAGCACACGCAAAATATAGACCTCGGCGAATCTACGCTGCCAGTTGCGATACTTTTATACGCCATACGTTTGTTCTGCCGTTCGTAACAAACTTCCTATAAAATGTATTCGTACACACACGAGAAATTCGGCCGCGCTCGGCGATCAAGGCTTTTTTGGCCGAAGTGAGCGTCAGCCAACGTGCACCCCGATGTTGCTACGCAAACAAAACATCAATCGGGATCATGCTCTGTGTGAGTGTCCAACCGGCTACCGAATTCGCGTTCACACCCTGCTTTGCTCTGTTGAGCGCGGACAGGACTATCGTCCATATTCACCGAGTTT